ATTGAAAGAGCTGCAATACCCCTCACCCCCTCCTTTTCAGTGGGCTGCCCATGTTGCCTTGTGTTGGAGAATTGGACCACCCCACCATAATCTACTTCTCTATTATTAAAATTGACCCTTCACTTCATTCTGTTTGCCAAAATAATGTCTATATTTTGGAATTTTTGTTTGTAACTTCAAATGTCTTTTTTACTTTACAAGTCCATTTTTTAGTGTAATAAAAAATTAATTAAATTAACAGCATCTTCTAAAAATAAATATTTTTTTTAAAGTTTACATATTTAATGGTATTATTGACTTTTAAATATGATTTAAGTTTTCATACCTGTTGATTCAAATTAGGTAAAAACTGTTGTAAATAGTATTTAATTAATAGTATATTTTTATTAAATAATTTTTATAATATTTTATAAATTAAGAGGACACTATTACATGTCAAACCATTTTTACCATTAATTTATATTAATAAATAAAAATTAGTATTTTATTTTAAAAAAATATAAATATATGTTAATCTCTAATATACATTAGGGAAATTATAACGATTGTTTTAAGATAATATATAACGCCCTTTTAAATTTATGATTAATCTAACAAGCATTTGTTTATATTATAATATTAAAATTTCAGTAATAATAAAAAACAATTGTGTATAATATCACATCCTATATTAAATTTAAGTAATTTAAACAATGGAACTGTTGAGCATGTGGGTATTATAAACAGAGAGATGTGTTTGACTTGTTGGCAACCATTCCTTTTTGCAATAGCTACGTTTTTCATTTACACACACATACAATGCCTTTGGTTCATGTCAAGTTGCATTTAATTTATTACTCTATTTGTGACAAAAAGTCATGATTTTTAGGATTAACGACCCTGAAAATATTATATCACTGCATTGAATGCATGCACAATCGCAAAAAGTGGTGACTGGACAGCGGCGCAGCTACGAAAATTTCGTTGAAGGGACGATATAAAAAGAAGATGAACTAAATAATCATAAAATAAATTTTTAAAATATATTATTATATAATATTTTTAAAATATATTTTCCTATCTTTAGATACTTAAATTCAGTTTTAAAAGTTGATATTAATAAATTTGAATATAAAAATAAAAGTTTCAAAGTTAATCTATTAAATTTAATCAATAATAAAAAATGTTATGATTTCTTGCTTTTACATAAAATATTATTTAAAATAAATAAATAAATTGAAAAAAATTATTCAGCCTTGTTTGGATTTAAATTCATTAATAAATACATAACTAACTATTCTTAATAAGATATAATATGATATACTTGACGTAGATAAAATACACATCTTTAAAATTTATATTTATGCTTCTCTTAAAAAAAAATAAAGACTAATTTCTAACCATATGACCTGTTGTATGAGCTAAAGGGGATAGCCAAGTGGGTCTATAAATTTAAAATTTCACATTATCAACAATGAATTTAATTCAATTCAAATGCATTAAAAGTACATATATTTTTTACACTGTGATTTAATTATAAATTCACATATCATTAAAAATATTTATTTTTATAATAATTAATATAAAACTGATATGTACAACGAATTCTGATTTCTTGAAAATATAAGAATTTTTACAGCAGCAAAATTAAACTCGTCAATAATTTAGAAATTAGATTTGCAAATACTTTTAATATTTTTTAAAAAACTCAACTAAGTGGTGGTAAATAACAAGTTCTTACTGTAAATTTCATTTTTAATAACTGAAATCAATTTATTATTTAATTTTGTTCAATGCTCTGTATTACGTTTGAATTTGGTAGTTATACTAGAAGTAATGATAATTAAATAGTTTCAGAAACAATATTAACTTTTAAGATTTATTATTCTACACATAGAAAAATTACATGTTACTGGACAAAAAAGTAAGAGTGTGGGGTTTTAAAGAATGATAGATAACATTAACATGTAAATTTTGTAATTATCTCTCTCTTAATAGATATTAAATAAATAACGATGGAAATTATGCATAACAAAATGCTTTCACTAAGCAAAAGTTGTGTGTTAAATGGGTTTGTCCACTCCATTGAAGTCAAATGGGCCACCAACACAAGAAGCCCAACCAAATGGCTTTTGAACTCTATTATCTGACCCTGTAAAGACTAATCTTAGATTCAACTAGAGAATAATTCATTCAAATTGTAAATTGTGTATTATTTTTTAAAAAATTATTAAAGCAACTATTATTTTTAAAATGTCAATTCCTACTAATAGTTTTCTAAATTAGAGAATCAGTAATCTTTAGCCTTGATATTTATGGGATATACTTGATTACATTTATAATTTTGTTTAAGAACCTGAACCTATGTTGTTGTAGACCTACTTATAACTTGCCAACCTAATTTAATTACATAGGCATCATTGGTTTCCATCAAAATGATTATCATTCCAATTCACAATCATTTTTGAAGAAGAGATACAATTGCAAACAGATCCAAAATATTAAAATTAAAAGTCTATTTTTTGCACAAATTGAAGAGAATTTAAACTCTGATAATACATTTGTTTCTCACGATTAACGAAAAACTAATTTTTATTGTCAAGTTTACCATTGAAAAAAATATAAATTCTTAAATACATTTCTGGAGGAAAAACAAGATAGTAGAACAATTGCCTCTTATTTAGTCTACAGTAGTTAACTTTTCAATAATAATAATAATAATAATAAACTTTTCACACACATGTAAGGAAGGAATTCACTTACTATAAAAGTTAGAAACATTAATTTATTTTACTTAATAATTATTTAAGAATATAAAAATTATTAATCTAATTGTTAAAAATATCATTTCCATGGTCACACATGTTAAATTTTAGGTGAATTCAACATTCATAGAGATATATATAATTTTATAGGTAATATTTGTTTATATTTTAAAACAATTTTATTATTTGTTCACTAAAATGTAACATTACTTTTTATCTATTCATTATACACACATCTTAAAATTATACCTACTATATAAAGTGACACCTAAAGATATAAGTCCCTTATACACATACAACTACACAATTTTGTTAAAAAAAATTGAATAATTCCTTCAAATAAAATAATAGTAAAATATATCATACTCTTTATAATTGAGAAGGTCCGATATTCTCTCTTAAACAGTCATTACTATTAATTTTGTGTTAATAGATAGTAAAATTAGTGATTTAATTAAAAAAATGTTAATACTCTCTAATATTTAAAATATTAAAACTTCACATCTATAATTTGCAATAATATTAAATGTGAACTTTTTATGCAAACAAATATCTAATTTTTATTTGAAAACAACGTAAAAAAAAACACATAAGAAATTATATTTATATTTTATTTTTTAAGAATAATATAATTTTAGTCATTTTAAATTTTAAATCTTAACAAATCATGTTAACAGATGATATGTCTTCGTTCATATATTTTCTTTCTAAGTAATAAATAAAAAAATTTAATAATAAAAATAGAATATTCATTATTAGTGATAGAAACATCTATTTTTAATTTATAAATTTTATTAAAAATTTTAAAATATGCATTATTACACATGAATATATTTTTTTAATCCTTTATCTAGTACCTTATTAACATTTACCTAGCCAAGCTAAATATAAAGAATTTAAAATTCTTGCATTTAAATGAAGTAGGATGGATTCGAGTACAGGTACCATTTACTGATAAAATTATTCTTTGTATATAAATGAAAAGTAATATAATCCTAAGACAAATAATCTTAAAGTTATATTTTAATCATCCTTTTAATGTTATATAAATAGTTTAATTTTCTTATTAGTGTTATGTAGGTGGTTGATGATATCTTCATTTTTTTAATTTTTTTTGTATAAAATAATATAAATTTAATATGTGAATCTTTTATTTTTATTTATGCATATTATGTAGTTCTTTAAATTTAAAAATAAAACATTTATCTTTTCATTCTTTCTCTTCAAATATTCAACTTCCAAACATAAGTAAGAAGCTTGGAGCTAATCCTTTGCGTGGACTCACGCTTCTTCTGTGAGATCCTTTGCCGGTTTGAAGGATAGACTTGAAGAGATAATGTAATATATGGCAACTATTTACCAATATTGAAAAGAAAAAAATGCTGCATTGTTGGCTATTTTATAAGCAAGTGTGAACATTTTGATTAAAAATTGAACACCAAGTAAAGTAAAGATTTGGGTATCATTTTATGGCACTTTTCATTTAGTCTCCGTGGAAGAGAGAGCAAACCAAATTGGTCCTAACGTGATAATACGGCTTGATTGAAGGGATTGCATGAAATATGATTTGAAACATTCCCTTTGAAAGATTAACAGGTTTACAGCTAATGAAATATACTATATAGTATTGATGGTTTTCGTTTAAGGATAAGAACACCCTTTTTTCTGTTGTTTTTTAAAGTATTTTCTTATCCGATGGATGAGAAACAAGTCTCTAAATACTATCAGACACTAAAGCAGGCACTTTTTGACACATTAGTTGTGATTTGACGATGATCCTTAAATTTTTTCTGCATATTCAAAACAACTTCCAAGTTTTTATAGCTCGTTTTTCCTATAGATTTTTAGGGTAAAAATCAATTATTTTTATACATGTCACGACAATTATTTTAATATAAAAATTATAGTTAAGATTAATTCAGACAAAAATTTTAACTTTGTTGAATAAATAAAAATTAATTCTACCACTGTCAAACAAATGACCCTTTATATTGGTCAGGGAGCATGCTGGACTTAGAATTGTAGCAAGCATGTGTCTCTACCTACCTTGCTCCCTCAATTTTGCAATAACAGTATGAACAAAAAGAATTCAAGAAGTAGTTTAAGATGATTAAATCATTATTCCTTTTGTCTCTTTCTTTTCTTTAAAATCGTTATTCTTTCGTCTTTGTTTGCTTTTCTAGCTGTCACTAGAAACTTAGAATCCATGTGGTTTTTCTCTCGTACGTTTATAAGAAATACCATACTAGTTTTAATATCAATATAGTTAATTCACTTAATCCATTTCTGTTAACCAGAATGAATATCATGAACCGCGTCTCAGTTTTATTCATCAGCAGAAGTGGTAACCACTAACAAGAAATCAATGTTGTTGTGGAAAGCGAGTACATAAATTCACTTTCTCTTCGTTACATTTATGAGTAAAACCAAATGGTGGGCTATAAACATTAAAATCATGAATAGAGACCCTCTAAGCCTCTACTATATACAATGCTGAAAGCAATAAGAAAAAAGTAGGAAAAGAAATAATATTTTGAACTAACTGCCAACAATGCTATGATCCATGAAACTGTAATCGGGTGCATCAGTTAATGACATAATTGGTGCGGATTCATCATCTCCATATTCAGAACCTGAGCTAGCAGCATCCATCTCCTTCCCAGGACACTCATCTTGGACACATTCAGCAACTTCATTGTTGTAATTATCAAAATCATGACTCCTACTTGAAGGTGTCAAATCTTCTTTCTTGACAACATTAAGCACAATCCCATTATGGATCCTTTCAGGCTGCAAGAGATCACCTTCATTTACCAGTATGCTGGATCCATTGACAACCCTGTTGCCAATTTCCCTTTGCTCAGATTCTGTGCTGTCAGAGTTTCTATCTGGTGTTGTGACCCTGGCAATGTGGTACTGAAGATCATGAGGATTAGCAATAGCATGACCCACTAAGCTTCTATTTGCTTCAGTATCAGTATCCAAGCTTTGAAGAAAGTCAATGAACATATTTGCTGAAGTAGTCCTCATCAAAGGCCCGCCAGATCGGGTCCATGAATTCAAATCAACACTTTCAGAGTCACTGTCACTTCCATCATGTATGCCACGGTGGGTCTTCCAAGCTTTACCATTGGCTCCATTGGAACTACTAATGTTTTGATGCAATGAGGAAGTAACATCTAAAAGGTCTTCAAGAGAGCCTGTCGAATTCTCTCGCGCAATGCAATTCCATGAAGGAATTCTTTTTGAGGCGCTGAATTTGACAGTACTGGACAGACCATGAGAAGCAGAAGCAGCTCTCTCAGCAATTCTTTTCAGCCTTCTCATGTGATTGAGAATTAAAACACATTCATCAAGAGCAAGCTCAATGCCGCAATTTGCTTTTATGGCTGAAAGCTTCTCCCAAGTGCATCTTCTCCCTTGGTTGGCTGCCTTTTGAAGCTCTCCATACGAAGGATTCTGTATAATTTTGCAGTACTGGAGTGGGGCACAGGCAAGCCAATAGTCACAATATACAAAAGTTAATCACTAATCTATTGAATCATCTTTAGTAAATAATACACAAATAAATTTCTAAACCTTCAGCAAAAATGTATGGCTATAGAAAGAGCATTTGTGACATTATTCCTGTGTTTCCAATTACAGTGAAATTTCAACTTCTGTAATCAAAGGTTTAATGTTAACCACTAGCGCTTCTTTAGGCACATTACCTGAGCAAGGGTGGCAGGCATAACAACAGTCACGTCACCTTCCCAGTCTTGAGCAAACAACTTGGCAAGTCCACCTAATGGAAAGCCAAGTTCCAGTACTTGATTACATCTATGTTTCACCTCCATCTCCACAAGATGAGCAAGCTGCAAAATCAAAAACCACATTTGACACAATCATTGAGAGCATAATGAGAAGAGCAGACAGCAGATTCAGTGGTTAACATGTTTGATGCCCTAGAAATGATGAATGGCATTGCCAAAGGAAAAAACCATTTCCTAGTCATGCAGAGGATAACGAACATTAATTTACACAGCATAATTTAAATTTAAGAATCCCCTTTTGTATAGCTAATATTCAGACTGAAAGTTATGTTTGTCATTAGAATAAATGATAACAAAAAAAAAGTGAGCACCAAATTTAAACAGTAAGTGTCAATTATTATGCTTAGAAAATAAATAATTTAGTGTTTGCAGGTTACTGTCACCTGTTAGTATTTACGTTTGAATAATTCTGTAATTGCTATTTCTTGGGATGGGTGGATTCTATACTTCTAATTCTGCAGTATAGGGCAAATATTTAATGGACGTTTTAGAGCAAGAGCAGCTATTTCTGTGAATATATTAACTAGTTTGCTAAAAACATAATACGTTATTTATGCAGAAAATTTCAGAAAGTTCTTGAGTACTTTTACAGTCAGAGATCGTTGGGTTCTCTCTACCAAGTCCAATTTCTTTGCTAGTAAACTAGGACACTAAGGAAGAAGTCAGAAATGTGGTGCACCGGACTTCAGTGTTCAGGGTCCTTTAACTACACCTAAGGGAGTGGACCATAATAAAATGTGGAAAATTTTATAACTGTTTCAACACATTGCTTTCGCTACAAACATAGCCTGTTTCTCTATTCTTCAATTAAAACAAAATCAACGACTAGTGTCATTGGCGATGACACTAATTCACTATCAAAACTATCTGCATAAAGGATTAAACAAATAACAAAGAAAAGACAATGTTATGTGATAAGGTAAATAGGAGGGCAATGATCTTATTGTGATCCAAACCTAGACATGAATTCCCCCTAGAAGTTGTCAGGGAGAGTGGAGTTGGAGAGACAATAGAAAACTCCATGGGGGTTTGACCAACAAATAACAAGTACTGATGCATGATATTACACAGATACAAGTAGACATGCACACAACCAAATAGCATCCATGAGTAATGCAAAGAAAAGCTAAAATCATAAGCAGCTATAAGGACATGGAAATGAACACAGTAAAACTTTAAGCAAACTGTTTAAATAGTTAACCATATAGTGATGGACTATTTACACATCAACTTAGGCCTAGGGAAGGGGACAGCACACTCGAAGGGGTAGTTGGAATTGTAATCGTGAAAATTCATTTAAGAAACAAATCTACCCAGTGCCAGTAAACATAAACATGTGTACGAATGTATAATGCATTGAGTTAGCACAAAGGTCCAAGTCCATTAGTATGTACCTTGGCAGCAAAATTGCCTCCATATGTCCGTACAAATTCTTTCAATCTCAATAATGGTGCAATGTGAGGATTGGCCTGACTAACTATAAAATGGTTGACATTGAAAAGTTCTTTCAATTGCATCATTGGTAAATCAATCTCCAAGCTACCATCTCTCCAACGGCGCGCTGGTGTGGAGCCCTCTTCAGGACCCAAATTAAAAGGAGGATGGTAAGGAACAATCTCTCCACTTCTATCCTTTGCCATCAATTCCTGAGCTTCGAAAAGGCCAGGAAAGGCACAAGAAGCAGTGACTGCACTCCATATAACCACATGGGGTGAAGTCAAGTAGTTAAGACATCTAGGTGGTTCATGCTTCCTCGGGGAGCAAACTGTGATCCCAAGAATTCTACCCGTCATGTCATAAGCTTCTTGAAATGTAAGATTGCTTGTTAGATGCCTCAACATCATTTGCAACTGTCTGATCTCATGAACAGCACCACATGTTGTGACCCTCTTAACAACAGTGAAAATCCCACCCATTTGATCAAAAAATTGTAATGAGTGCCATGAATTCTCAAAAAAGCTCTGAAGCTCAGGCCAGGTCCTAGTGGCAACAACGGCACACATAATGGATCCTACACTTGAACCAGCAATTATCCTAGGTAAGAGTTTATGCTCTACCAGTGTTTTAACTACACCGACATGAGAAGCTCCAAGAGAAGCACCCCCACTTAAAAGTAAAGCTGTCCTCCCAAATGCATGTCTAGTTTCATGCATGAAAGCAAGCTTTTCTTCCAATGACAGCTCCTCAGAATCCGAGTCACAGACCATTCTCAATTGAGTTGTTACCTCATCAATGTACTCCTTGATCAATTTCGGCACCTGAAGCCTACCCTTGTGTAGTTCAGGGTTACACATATTACCTAAATTTCTAACAAGATCCGCACGCATACAAAATATTATATCTCTAAGAGATCCCTCTTGCCTACGATGGCGAAGCTCTTGAAGTTTGTTCCTCACCAATTCTACATCATAAAGGTCTGATTCATTCATCTTTGGTGTCTCTTTATCAAGCATCTTAGCTGCATGAGCCCACTCCTCATAGGTCAAAGCAGTTCTCATCATGTTTCTCCAAAATTTCCTCCTGTATGCCATCTCAGCCCTTACCTTCACATTTGTGTATCGTTTCAACAAGAAAGCAACTATTGTCATCATTGCCAATATTCCCTGCGGATTCCTTGGATGCAACCATGATATAAACGATGCCAAAAACCCCCTAAACCTAAAGAAGAGATCTAACAACAGAGAAAATATATGGTGCCTCAAATGTGACATAGACTTGCACAAAAGAACCCTGAAAGCAATTGTCCTACCAAGAATGTCTGAAGGGCCAATTGGAAACCGGTCGACACTAGCCTCATTACTAATTTGATCCATTCTACCTTAATCAAAAGTCAAAGATAAATATTGTCTTCTCACACAACTCAAAACTAAAAATTAAATAATAACCTATAAGAAAGCCAGCACTAAAAGACCTGTGCTTTCAATGTTAGTATTAAAGTGTACAATAAAATGTGAAAACGCAGAGTAAATGATGTACAGTTGTACACTAGGATTTCATAAGATGATGAATTTGTGGGTGTATCCTGTGACTAACTCTAAAGCTCGTATAATTGAATTGGACTAATTTTATGTTTGGAAACTCCTTAAAAACCTGTGATGCAAGATGCGACACAAAGGTTACAATTAATACCGTTGAAGTAAACGTGTCTCCGCCATGAAACTAAACAAACAAACGCGCTAAGCAACAGAACAACAGTACAATGATTGATATTGAAGTTCAAAGTTCTCGTTTTTCCTCCAATCTCAGAAAATCTAAGAACCACGAGCACAGCTCCAAATCAGATATCCAGAACCCCTCAAATAAAAAAGATAAGATTTTAAATCAAACCCAGAAATAAAATCGTCGATCTCCAAAAAAGCAACAAAAATTTGGTCGAAAAAAGAAGAATGAATGGGGTGGGAGAGGGATGGGCATTGGGATCCGTGAGGAAGGGATAAAGATACAGATGCGGTGGTGACGCGGAGCTTAGTCACAGAGACGATGACGTGGATAGAATAGAGATGCATGAATGAACCATATCTAATTATCTAAACCAAATTATGGGTCGTTAGTGATTTGGCTCAGATGAGGAGGGAAAAATGGCAGAACCAGACAAACTCTGGTTTTGTTGTTTCGAAAGCTTGGAAGTTTCTAATCAATAAAGCGATCTTAGGATGGCTTGGAAAGACAATACTGCATGTTGCAGCCACTGAAAACACACGACAAAAACGTGATGGGAACAAATTACTTTGTTTTATCGCTTTTTGTTAAATTCAACTTATATTAAAGACAATATTTTTTATTAAAATAAAATATTTAAATACACTTTATATTTTTATATGATAAATATTTATTTAGTTCTATACATTTTAAAAAAGGAAATAATAAATCCTGTTAAACTTTAAAATATTGTTATTTTATGTTTATAATTTTCTTATTATTTTATAAAAAAATATTAAATAAAAAATATATATCTTAAAATTATATAATTTAAAAAAAATACATCTAGATTTAAAATTATTAAATGCCTTTACCATTATTTTAATAATTAATGGATAATACACGTTAAAAAAAACAAATATTAACTTTTGTTGCTTGAAATTGTTGATGCAGCGTTGACAACCTTGATATTCTTTTAGGCATTTAATTATTTGAAGTCACTTTATTGGGCGCTACAAAAATTAAGAGGATTTATTTAAGATATGATGTAATATCTAATACCATTGCGACTAAAGTTTTAAATGAAAGGGGAAATAGAAAAAAAAAACGATAAACAGAAAATAGATAGAATAAAAAAGGATTTGTTATTTGAATGCGTTAAAATCAGAGAAAAAAAGTCTCTATGTTTATTAAATATAGAAAAAAGAATGAAAAGAAATATAAAAAAATTATTTTATTATTATTGTTATTAATTTTTTATCATGTAAATATTTTAAAAATATAAAAACTAAATTAACAAGAAAAAAAATCCACCCATACAACCCCTCCATTTTTCTTTGAACAGAGGTGTAGCATATTAGGATTGTCTTTATAATTTTACCATATCTATAAGAAAAAATAAAAAAACAATATCAATGAACTATAATCTAATTAAAATAAAAATAATATAAATAAAACTAATACTAATTATTAAAAAAACACGCCCAAAATGTATTTAAATTAAAATTAGAAAAATAAAAATTATTTGTTATGATTTATTTAGATTAAATGATAAATAAAATTATATTTTAAAATAATTTTAAATAGAAATTATTCATCTTTAAAAACGAAAGGACGAGTTTTTTTTATATATTTATTGAATAATATTTTAACAATTTTGTTTAAAGAGAGAAAAATAAAAAATTACTTTTAACATCACTTTGTTTTTACTTTTATTCTTTTTGAACAATATGATTCAAATTTAGATACATAAAGCTAAAGTTAAGTATGATCCTAATGATCACTATAATATCTTAATTTACTTGTGTTTAAGGTGTTTTTATCCTTTTTTTGTTTAAGTTCAAATCAAGTAAATTCTTAATTTGCATTATGTTAAAAAACACTTAATTTTAGTGAAAAAAATAAATTTCAGATTGAACATTTCAAAATTATAAATTTTGTTCTCTAATGTTGAGTTCTTTCTTTTTTCTAAGATCTTATAAGAATTTAAATCTCTTGCGGTGATCAACTTAATCTTATCAATTAAAGAGATTTGTAACATTTATCATTTGTTCTTACTTATTACATATTTTTTATTTATATTAATAAAGGAAATTGAAAATTTGACCTAAAGTTTATGGGTATGTTAATTTTTTTCTTAATCCCAAACTTTCATTTTAATTAGCTTAAATTGTATCTTCTATTCTACAACGTATTTTTTGTGTGTGATTTTTGTGCCTAAATTATGATTTAAAACATGAATTTTTTTTTAATTTTTAAAATACTTAAATCTGACTTTTGTCGCGTGAGATATAAACATTTTCTTATTCTACCTATAGTTTTATTTTTTCCTATTCTTGCTTCAATTTTTGTTTTCATTGGTCATTTTGGTTCTTCTCCAGTTTCTAGAGTTTAAGGGCAAAGTTTAAAAATATTAATTTCTTTTTTTAATTTGAGTGCTCATAGTCCTAATTAGATTCATTTTTAAAAATGACTCAAGAAACTTTTTCATTTGGTATCAAAGCTAATTACTAAAGCTAGTTTTAGGTGTGGGGGAGGGGAGAGATGTGTGTGGTCATGTGCAACAATCAAAACAAGGAAAGAGAAAATTGCACTTGTGAAATAGTGGACAATATTGTGATGACTATTAGGGTAAATAGAAATCCTAACTTTGAACATGCATGAGGCTAAATTAGAAGCACAAAATTTGATTGGTGAGTTGGTTGCATCGATAATCTGCTTGATAATCAAGTAGGTGTTATATCTACCTTAAGTTGTGATTGTATTTTGAAACTTTATAAGTTAAAAAAATGTTTTGTGCACTTAACTTGTTATAATTATGTGCTAAATTTGGGTACTTACAAAATAAAAATTAAAGTTTGTTGGCTACAAATTATCTAGTATTTTTTTAGGTATTTCGGGTTATTTTTTTATGCAAAATTAGAGGGGGAAAAAAATCAAAATTGTATAAAAAAATATATTTGTATTGAGTTCTTTGAATCAAATTATGTAATGCTGAAAGTACTACAATATGAGTATGTTTGTTAGCTACTGGAGACTTAAATTAATGTGTGCATATAAAATGTACTTTGTTGTTTGGGTGACTTATAGTATGGATTAAACTTTCATTAGCTTCAAGTGTAGTTTGCTAAATTATAGAAGAAATGAAATTTGTTTTTAAGCTTCTTGATTGTAAAACTTAATAAGAAACTAAAAAACTCAAATTTACATACATTTCTATTTGTTGAACTATTTTCTTGTTCTTTGCTTACAGAATGTCTTTTACTTTTTTTTTTGTTTAGTCTCGATTTATTTTTTAATTTTCTTGAGTCGTTAGTTTTAATCTTTTTCCTTTATTTGTGTCGTTCTTTCTTGTTCCAATTCTATCTAAATAATTATTATTATTTTTTTTGTCTTTTGTGTATGCTATGCATTAGAATTGTTCTTTACTACATTTCTTTATATGGTTCACCATGCTATAAAGATTAAATAACAATTAAAAAAGAAGAGTGAAAGCAGAAGTTCTTCTATTTATGAAAATCTAAGTGAAAAAAAAAATATAAGAAGCAAGAACTTTTAAAAATTTATTTAAAAAACTTAGAATGTGAGAATTAAAAAAAACTAACATCTCAAAAAGATTTTGAGGGTTTGGAAAAAAACTCCCTCACCCCTTCCTTTTATAGTTAATTAACTTTTAAATAAAGGTTAAATTCTACTAACTCATCTCTTTTCTTTCCCTCCTCTCTTAAACATGAAATTCAAACATAATATTAGTCTCTAACTTAATTTTTTTTTTAACTAATCTAACCTAACAATGCATGTAAGTGTGTCTAAAAAAATTGGAGTAAAGGAGACTATTCTATAAAATGGGTGATCCAAGTTTCATAAACCAAAAATTATGTTTCTCATGTCAATTCTTTTGCAGGTGGAGTGGGGCTATTATACTCTAACATTAACACCGGAAAGAAAACCTATAAATGTTAGCATAGGTGATTCCATACTCTCATTAGTAAGAATTGAGAATACAAAAGTAAGATTTAACTTTTTTTTCAAAGGAAAAAAAGTTAAATAAATATTTATTTATCATTAATTTTAAATTAACTGTATTTATAAAATATTTCAATTCAAATTAAAAGTAGATAAAACTTCACTTTATCACTTCATAAATTTTTTTACCTAAAATTTTTTTTATCCTTAAACAGTAACTCTGTGGTAAAAATAACCACTTTTTTCGCCCTCAACAACCTCCCATTGAATAAATTGTTGTAGTGAGTAGGGTGATCCTAACTCTGGATCCAAACGGGCCTTCAAAACTATTAATATTTATTGACCCAAAAGAATAAAAAGAGAGAGCATATTAAACATTTACTCATTATTCTTTCGTTGGCCGGTCAAACTCGGCTTATGTAGATTATTAGCTTCTCGTGATTGATTAAACCATCGTAATTTTGTTTATATTCCAACTTGGTTGCAAACTAATGTCTCACAATCACGACCTTATCCAAATTCAGAACGGCTAAATGATACGAATTCGTATGAATACTATAATTTAATATAATTCAGAGTCCGTTTGTTTTTCTGTTTTAAACCAAAAATTGCTTTAAATAATTTTATAATTTATTTTAAACATTTGGAATTATAAAATATTTTTAAAAATAATTTTGGAAAAATATTTTGAATAACTTCCAAAAGAAGCTGAAAATATAATTATTTTAATAATATTTTTTATAATTATATTCATAAAATTTCTACCAAAACTCTAAAAATTATTTTAGTATAATTTTTGAAAATATCTTTTAATTTAAACAAACGAATTGTTCAAGTATATTTTTATATATATATAAAAAAAAACACATTCTACTCCAGTAACACGAAATCACTCATTTATATTAAAGTTATACAAGTTCTTTTCATAGATATATTAATGCCCATAAAAAGTCTCTTCTTATTTCGCTTAAAATAGTTTTTTTAACTATGAATAAAACATAAAAAATTAACATATATATATATATATATGTATATTTAAATTTATGTTAACTATATTAATATACATTTGGATTTTGAAATTTTAAATTATGTTTTACAAACATCTATTAATATTAAAATTAAGAAATACAATTTTATAAATTTATTAATTTATATTTAGAATATTAATATGCATCCGGATTTTGTATTTTAAAATATGTTCTAAGAATAATTTTACCATATGCTTTTCATTATTAATTTTTTTCTAATTACCTTTTTAATTTCTTCTAAAGAATTTTATTAATATGGGAGGCCACAGTATTAACCATTATATTACATTCACTAAGCCAAATAAATATAATACCTTTAATGAATATAGATCTACTAATATTTCAAAGTATTTCATATTAACAAGAAAGACCATTCAAATAATGTATATTATATTCAATAAATATAGCATTTAATAATAATATTTAAATTAATTATATATTACATTAAAAAATATAACATTCAATAATATTGTACAGTCATTGTTATTTATATAAAATATATAAATATAGTTTTGAATTGTTTTTCTAGTAAATGTCAATACTATGAAAAATAATTCATTTAATAAAAGTATAGTAAATTAAAGAATTGGTATGTTTAATATTATTTTAAATTTATATCTTTATATTAAATAAATATAAATTGTATTCCTATTGGACAGTCAATTTCATTTATATATAAATGCAATAATATTCGTCCCTTACTATCACACGTTATATGACTTCCTTATTCACCAAAAAGGGTCTTTTTTGATTTCTAGTACTAGACTTTAGATACTCATTGTAAACAAAGAAAACCTTTTTGCTGTCTTATTTTTTTTTTAATATATTGAATTTTTTTTAAAAGTGTTAGGGTAGAACTCAATTCACACTTGATTGTATAATATTTGATAAATTTTTTAAAAATATTTAATATAACTATATTTACTTAAAATTTAAAATTTTGTATTATTTAGTTCACGTCTTTAATAATAGTTAAAATTATCTTAAAAAATACAGATAAATTAATATTTCTAAATACATGACTATATTTGGTCTATAAATTTACAAAGTAAATGAATTTGAAAGATAAAATTAAAAAAGAGTGTTGAATTGTGAAGAAAAAGAAAGATAACATTACATGTGGGTAGGAGGTACGCTGCGTCCCGTGGATTGCGGTGTAGAGAAGTCGGTGGTCCCACCATTCTTATGAATAATGATTAACTCAAACGCGTCACAACTATTAATTAATGAATATTCATTAACACTAATAGTATATAGAAAAAACAACGCACATGGAAATGTTGTTAATAATATGATTTTGTTGCATAGCAATTTAGGTGTAGAGTTGGAATCAAATTGACGACATTATATAGTTTCTACCTTATAACAAATTTCAAGGATGTGTTGATTATAGTTATCATTTTAGAGTGTTGCACAAAGATTAAGAAAACTACTGAAAATTCTCCTAAAACTTATAAAATAATAATAATAAGATTAAATTACTTTTTTCACATAAATATATATCCTTGATATATAATCTCCTAAAAGTTAAAAAATACCTAATTTTAATAACCAAGATACAATTTTTAGAAGAAAATGTAGAGAGAAAGAGTGGAGGATAAGGCTTAAAAAAAGTATAATTATTTCTTTAATACAAATAATTCGAAAATAAAAAACAATCGAACAACAGTTATTTCAAATAAAAAAACATTAGAACAATGGTTTTGATGCTATACATTTTATTGACGATAAAACAAGAAATAGTGCGCAACTTTTTCATCCAATAATTGCAAATTAAAATTTGTAATTAAATTTTCATCCAATTAAAGATATGAAAAAGAAAATCGATATAACGCATTTTTTTAAAACAGGATTTATGCAAAATTAACCCAACAATAAATAAAACTCATTAATTAAAAAGTGAAAAGCACAGTTCAATGAACTTCATATTAAATTCATAGTATGAGATGAGTATTTATGTGTTAGAAAGTGTTACTTTTATCATGACAATATATAAATAAAAATGAGTGGTTTTCACGTCTGAGCCAATTGACCAAAGGCCAAGTCAATTCAACACAACAGACTCTTCCCTCTCTCCGCCTACTGGTCAAGCACCTCCATGTCCTATTTCACATTCTTCTATCTTTTGACACGTTCAATTCTAAACTCAAAGCCAAAAGCCACTATTTTTTTATTTTTTTTATTTTTTATATTTCCTTTTAATATAATATAATAATTTCTAGTCTTGCTACAACTTTACAACAACAAATACAACTGTACCAGTATGCAAAATCCACACTCTAAATTATCTATCTCGTAGTTTCCTTTGCATAAAAGAAAAGCAATAGCACTATTCTCTATTTCCAGACCCAAATCAACTCGGGGAAGAACAAAAAAGACCATTTTCTTAAGCATAATCATAACTCAAAATCAGGTTCAAGACATTTTTCCCTTTCTTTCTTCATTTGGTTTCTTTGATAGTGTTACTAATTGTTTTACTTAATCCGTGATATTGATTCCATGAATTGAACAGATTCTGTAAAATGAAGGATGAAATTGAAGGAAGCTACAGTGATTATGATGAATCTCAGAGAGTTCCTGGAACAAAGGAATCTATTTCCAGCCTGCCAGAAAATAGAGGAAGATTGGAATCAAAGAGAAAACTGAAGAAAGTGAGGTCAATTAGGCTTGGAAGATTATCAAGCATGAGATCATCAACTAGAAGGGGGAAACCCCAATATGATGATCTCATCATTCTCTCATCTGTTGGCACAGAAAGTTTGGAGGGGCCAACCCCAATTGACATGGCAGATGCATCACCTAATTACATGAAGGCTACCAGCAGTTCTCATGCAAAGGATAGTTTTCAGGTAAGTTTGCTGATTTTGAAAATTCAGAATTTGTAAATATGATTTGAAAAAGTTTCAATTAGTGGGAAAATAATAAAAATAAGAATAGTACATTGCTGCTTCTGGGCAGAATACACGGAGATTTTCCACAAAGAGGACTTTAACTAGAATGTCTACTTTGAAGTTGAAGAGGAGTTTGACCAGAAAGTTATCTGGAAGGACTGAGCCAAAGAGGAAATTGAAGTCATCAAGATCAATCAAGTTTGTAGCTGTTAAGGGTCCAAAATCAACAAGAAAGCAATCTGAATCTACCTGTGGCAGTGATGATCAAAATGGGAAAAGTACATGTGATGCTAGCAGTAAACCTCAGAGAGTCATTACCAGAAGATTAAGCTTCAAACCTGTGAGGATGTTAACAAAAATGCCCACTTTCAAAGCAAAGAATTCTTCCAAATCAGACTCAAGCTTGCATAGAGCCACATGTTCTTCCACTCTCAAGGATTCCCATTTCCCTGATCACATTGACCTTCCTCAAGAGGCAAGTACATCTCAAGGAGTATCATCTATGAAGGTTTGTCCATATACTTACTGCTCTCTTCACGGTCATCGCCATGGCAATATGCCTACGTTGAAGCGCTTTGTGTCAATGAGGAGGCGTATGTTGAAGACCCAAAAGACCATGAAAATGGACGGTCAACCTGTTAATAGATCAAAGCAGTTTGGAAATGCAAGGAAAGCCGCTCCAAAAGCCCAAACTGTTCACAGCGAAGATGGCAGATCTCATTTTCAGAACATGAAAAAGATGGCAAGTGACTCACATATTAGGCCTCATGGCACTCCAACATCCAGAGTTACCGAAGGTGACACTTCTGGGAGAGAGGATGAGGAAAAATATAATGTCAGATCTAATGCTGAGGTGTTACTGGGTGAAACATCATATCCACATACGATAAATTTTGAAGAGTATCTAGGTGATTCTCCTGCAGTTAAAAGGCAAACTTCACCTTCTGTCAAGGAAAGAAGTATGGAATATTGCTGCATTGCCACCGAAAAATACAAATCCGATTCTGTGGTAGCTGAGACACCGCAGAGTGACAAGAATATGGTTGCATGCAAGAAAAATGATGAAAGTGCTACTGTGGATTCGACATCAACAGATGTAGTCAAGTTTTCTGCTTCTGATATTGAGATATTGGAGGGAAAAGTAATTACTGCAGGCAAAAACATGGAGCCAGATTATGAAGTACTTCAGAAGAGTTCTGCACAGGAAGAGCCTACCCCTGCTAGTGCTACTGATGGGGCAATGCAGGAAAGAGATAAAAAATATATAAAAATGTGGCAATTGATGTATAAGCATGCAGTGTTAGGTAACTCAGGGAAATGTGAAAGTAAGCTGCCTTTTAATGAGAAAGGCAGGGAAGAAAGCGGGCAAAATGATCTCATGATTAATGAAGTAAACAGCTGTTCTTGTCATAATCATTGCGAAACCAATCAGGATATGGATGATGAAAATAAGAATGCAATTGAGCTGGTGCAGAAAGCATTTGATGAAATTCTTCTCCCGGAGCCTGAAGATCTCTTTTCTGATGATCATTTCAAATCTGAAGGCATTGATTCAGATGAGCCACTCTCAGAAAAGAGTGAAGGTAAAAGAGAAGAAGTGAATACCTCAACATCTACAGAATCTCCTATAGAAGAACAGAGGATGGGGACTGAACCTCACCAAACAACACCAAAAAGCTGGAGCAATCTGAAAAAAATGATCCTCTTGAAACGGTTTGTAAAGGCATTAGAGAAGGTAAGAAACTTCAACCCACGAAGACCAAGTCATTTGCCTTCTGATGCTAACTTAGAAATAGAAAAAGTTTTTCTCAAGCACCAAACTGCAGAAGAGAAGAAAAATACTGAGGAATGGATGCTTGACTATGCTCTTCAAAAGGTTATTTCTAAACTTGCACCTGCTCAAAGACGTAGAGTGACACTTCTAGTAGAAGCTTTTGAAACAATTCTGCCATTTCAAGATGCTGAAAGTAGTCCATGGTCTTCTGCAACAATGGAACCTAAAGCAAATCCAATTCAATCCCTTGATGATTCCTCAAATCATGGCAAGGAAGAAGCATCATTTTCTCATAATAGTAATATGGAACTTGAGGATAATGCTGGTGATGATCCAATGCCAGAACTGCACAATCCTATTGTGCTCAAAGACATCTTTGATTATCCTCGGACTGAGATTGTCAAGCATATATCTGCATCTGAAGCTATTGAAGAAGACATATATGGAAACCGAAGTTTAGCTGGCAGTGATGATAATGATGAGAAAATCTCAACTGACGACAATAATATTTATCCTGTAGAAATCAAAGATAGCAGATCAAGTTCCTTAAATAAGCCAGTTGAAACTACAAGCAGCTGTCATGAGGAGGCTCCAACCAATGAAAAGGTCAGTGAATTTCCAGAAGACTTGATATCCAATGTGAATATAGAAAATCCAAATATCAAATCCAAATCACCTGGAATAGATGTTGAAACCAAGAAGCTGATTGGTGATAATGGGGAACAATTTTCCGTGTCTAAAAGTTTAATTCTAGAAGGTCTAGTTAGATCACTCAGATCTAATTTGAATGGTTCAGGAGCACCTGCTAACCTATTAGATGAACCAACAGCAGACAGGAAAGAAAGGATTGAAAAATCTAAGCTGGAAACTGAGACTCTTGAAGAGTTCCCTACACAGGAACAATCTGAAGCTCCCAAGAGTGCTGTTGTAGAACCTGAGACCCTGCCAGAGAAACAGCGCTACACAGGTCTGTGGTACTTGGTATATAAACACATGGTATCGGATATGGCTGAAAACAAGCCCAAGTCACTAATTGATGAGGCAGATGAGAAAGAGTCAGGGCATGAAGGCGGCAGAAAAAGAGGAACTTCCATCTCTCATGAAAGTACACCAATGACTAAGCAAGATAAGGAATTCAAGGACCATGTTGTAGATGATCCAGAAGTTGAACTCCAACAGATTGAAGCCATCAAGATGGTAGAAGAAGCAATTGATTCAATCCTTCCAGATGATAAGGACGACTTACCAGACAAAGAGTCACTTGCTTACAACACAATTTCAGACAACTCTAAACAGTCTGACAGAACTGAAAGAGTGTACAATGAAGGTCTGGAGAAAAAAGAAGAAAGAATGGAATCTAAAAATAGAACAATCCAAGAAAAAGAAGATGAAGAATCAGCACCAAAGGAGGGAAACAAAACAAACCAGCAATTGCCTAGAAGCTGGAGCAATCTTAAAAAGGTAATCCTGCTTAGGAGATTCATCAAGGCATTGGAAAAAGTAAGGAAATTCAACCCAAGAGGACCCAGATATCTACCTGTAGAGCCTGATTCAGAATCTGAGAGAGTTCACTTAAGGCATCAAGGCATGGAAGAAAGAAAAGGCACTGAAGAATGGATGCTTGATTATGCACTTAGACAGGTGGTTTCCAAATTAACCCCAGCTAGGAAAAGAAAAGTGGAGCTGCTAGTGGAAGCTTTTGAAACAGTCATGCCAACCATGAAAAATTGAAACTGGCCAGATAGTGGAATAGCTCGTATGCAAAATGAATTCAAGCAGAACAAGATGAAAGGTAGAAAATTACCCTTCCCAAGTATAAACTTCCAATTTATTTTTTTTCCCTTTTCGATTTACTATTCCTCTCTTTCTCTTCTTTGAAATATTGAGGTGCAATTATTAACAACAAAATGCTTGTCAAACTGTGTGAAAACTGAAAATTAGAAAATTTCTTGGATAAGGGAAATACATGAAATATCAAGTGAGCAATTTTATACTCTTGTCATATGATCAACTATTATTGAGACAAAAGAAGAGGAAGAATTTCATATGCACCATTGATAAGAACATTCATGTATTTAAGAAGTAATAGTCTGAAGTTGTAAATACTACTGTCTTCATAAATCTGATTTGCTATTTCCTCTAAATGTGCAGGTCAAGAAAGAAATCTGTATGATCACAATCCTTTGCGATTACTCTGCAGTTTTTTGTTTGTCAAAACAGTGTGACAGAACTCAGATATTTCAATGTGTCTCCGAGGGAGAAATTTTAGAGAATAATGAATGTTTCATGATTCATCACAACAAAATTTCAATACAGGGCATATTTTTTCTCTTGGTGTTCAGACTTCAGAGGTGGATGTTCTGTATGAAAGACCTTGGCATTACAAATACCGTAGACAATCTTTAGTATCATGATGTATATCTTTTATTTGGAAGTTGGAACATATTAGAATGGCCTAATTTGTAGAACATATTTATGTTCTTTTCTTCTGAAAATAAAGATTTCTTATCCTGTTATCAAACATCCAAAAGTAAACATGAACTGAAAAGCCGTGACTACCAGATTTCTTTCCTTCTTTTGATTATTACATTGAATTTATTTACATGGACTCTGATCATGTCTTCTAAGTCATAATGCCCATCTGAAAATCCTTGTACAATTCCGCAGATAAACCATGCCGCATATACTATATGTTTAAATTCATTGTCATTTTAATGAAAGCCAATAACCATACCCCGCCCCCGTCTCCCACCTTGTGGTTGCAGAAGATAAAGGAAAAATACCAATAATTAGATGGCATGCTTGTAGAGCTCTACCTTACAATGCTTAAGGTGTACAACAAATAATCTTACATCATATTCAGAGTTCAGACCATGAATGATAACAAGTAACTGCGTTGATTATCTACAATTTAGAATATTAATAGAACCTTTAGTTCAGTTAAAGATAAGAGAAAGCAAATCGCGCAAGCTACTACAGCTAAGCAACATATGTGACGCCTGTTTTTACTTTGAAAAATAATTGTTCATTTTTTGGCTAATAAAAATTGATGAGTACTCATATATCAAGTTTAAGTTAAAGCCATACAAAGGCTTTAACATATATGAATAGCTGATAGTGTTTACTAACCGACATTCCCTTACGAGAGAAAATGCTCAATTTCACAAGATTGCAGAGAGTTTGAAAACCGAATTTTGTTTGATGATCATGATGAAAACATATGCGCACGAAAGTTATAATAAAAAGCATGATGTTACAGAACAGCAAAAGCGTGACTTGATAAAAAGATACAGTAACTAAACTGAGCCCACAACAACATAGAGAAGAGGTTGTTAACCTTTGATCAATGGTGGAGAATGGTCAACACCAACTAGTAAAAGCTTATCTCTCAGTCTTCTTCGTCGGAGTCACCAAAACAGCGTGTTCTCAACTTCAGTCCTTAGTACGTTGACTAGCGATTTCAAACTTCATAGTCCAAGCCTATAAGCTATCTTGGAATTCCAGGTTTGACCTTAGTTCGAGGTAGTTGAACTAAGGTGGTTGAATGAACGACTACAACACAACCATTTCTTTTAACACAGTTTCCCATTTATGTTTGGGCTTTTGGACAACATCAACTGGACCCATCAATGTAACCATGGGTTATTATCAAATTTTAATTTTATTCCAAATAAATTTTATTTATTTTCCATTCATATATTTAATAAAATAGTGTATTTTTAATCCCTCGTCAAAGACTAAAAGAATGTTTGTTTCCATTTTAAAAAATAGTAATTTTTGTTTTCGAAAAGAGAAAACCTTTTAAAAGTGGAAACAAATATGCTCTAAAAATTTTTATTTTTATATTTTAAAAAATTAAGAATAAATAAAATGCAATTAAAACTTAAAATTAAAAATTGACAATTTTATAAGGACAATAAATATATTTAATACTATTAAAAATTACAATTTTTGATAAATGCATATTTTTATTTTTAAATTTTTTTTCCTTTGACCTAAAAATGTTTCTTTTCTGATTTTTCATAAGTTTTGGACATTTTTTGGTCATTTATATAGGGTCATGTTTATTTTGGGCTGAAAATATAGGATAGGATTTGTAATTGGTCGGAATAAACAGCAAAGGCCCAGTAGGCAGTGACTCTCTAGAGAGAAGAAAGGGATATTCCTCTTGATCAGTATTGATTCTTGTTGAAAAAGAAAAGACTGCAGTTGCAGGGTTTATCCATAAGCAGAAGCATAGTCAAATCCATTTGACTTTGTGTTGCTCCTCAGTCTATAGTAACTGTTCTTTTTCTGAGTTCTCCCAAGGTAATCAAACTTACCATCTTTTGCAATTTTTCATATTCTTGGCTTAGGTTGTTATGTTGGGTTCCATCTTTCTACATTTTGAAGTGGTATGGATTGAATGATGTTTATTGGTCTTGAGGGCATGAAAAGGGGACAACTTGAAGTGCCCTTCGTTTCCCTAAGTGGGTCTAGTCCTTTTTGTTGATTCTGATTCATCCTGTGTTGATGCTTGCTCGTGAAATTTTAGAACCTTTTCTGCTGGTCGCTTCCTTTTTGTCCGCAAAGTTTTGAAATTGGGTTCATGACACCATGAATCATGTTTACTTGCTTGAAGGACTATTAAGTGCAATTTAACCGAGTGGAAGAGTAATCGTTATTAGGTGTTTTTGCAAAAGCTTATAACAAACCTTGCTCTTCAAAGAGGTTTTTTTTTGGGGTGTTTTATTGAAACTTCGATAAATTGAAGTGTTCAGGAATATGGTGTTCTATGTTTTGAGGTTGTGAAACATGGGTAATATAAGCTCTTCATAGTTACTACCCGGCCAGATGTGGTATTCCTGTATCTCAACTAAAATAGTTAATGTAGGTGCTTAACTTATATTTCTCTAACCGGGTCTAGTCCTTGTGTTGATTTGACTCATGACATTTGTTTTGTGTTGCTGCACTTGTACCAAAGTCATGATGTTACCAGTCCTTAATCTTGGTTACTTGCTTGATAAACTAAGTATTTTATTATTGTTTGAAATGAAATGCAAATGACAGCATTTTAATTCTTGTTTCAGGAACGTGCTTAAAGTAATTAGAGGAACCTAAGGATAAGATTGAGATGGCTCAATTACTGTCATCATCTTGCTCCTTGACTATCTCCTCTAGAAAAAAACCTTATTTAAAACCTTTTAGTCAATGTTCAACATCATTTTCTAGCATGGTTGCTTGCAGTTATTCCAAACCTCCATTTAGAAGGCTTTTCTTGCAAGAACATAAGCGAAGAAAAAGTTCTGTAGTAATACTTGCTGCCGCAGTTTCAACTAGCCAGGAACTCCCAGTTCAAACTAGCCCCGGTGACCCTTTTAAACCAAATCGAGTGATGGTCATTGGTGGAGATGGATACTGTGGTTGGGCAACTGCCCTCCACCTTTCTAACAAGGGTTATGAGGTTGCCATTGTTGACAGCCTTGTTCGACGCCTTTTTGATCATCAGCTTGGACTGGATTCTTTAACGCCAATTTCCTCCATCCAAAATCGCCTTCACTGTTGGAAATCTCTTACTGGAAAAGCTATTGAGCTATACATTGGTGACATATGTGATTTTGAGTTCTTATCTGAGACCTTCAAGTCATTTGAACCTGATGCTGTTGTCCACTTCGGAGAACAGCGATCTGCTCCTTACTCTATGATAGACCGGTCAAGAGCTGTGTATACTCAGCAAAATAATGTGGTTGGGACACTGAATGTGCTCTTTGCCATAAAAGAGTTCAGAGAGCAGTGTCATCTAGTTAAGCTCGGGACCATGGGTGAATATGGGACTCCGAATATTGATATTGAGGAAGGTTATATTACCATTACTCACAATGGAAGGACAGACACTTTGCCATATCCCAAGCAAGCCAGCTCTTTCTATCATCTAAGCAAGGTTCATGATTCACATAACATAGCCTTCACTTGCAAAGCTTGGGGGATTCGAGCAACTGATCTGAATCAAGGAGTGGTCTACGGAGTAAGAACAGATGAGACTGCAATGCATGAAGAGCTTTATAACAGGTTTGATTATGATGGAATATTTGGAACTGCATTGAATCGGTTCTGTGTTCAGGCTGCTGTTGGTCATCCACTCACTGTATATGGTAAAGGAGGCCAGGTAACCTACCCATCTCTATTTATTTTTCATTGATGACTTTTGATGTGATAAGTTGAAGGGTGACTTTCGATGATTTATATGATAAGGACTTAAATTTTGGAATATTTCAAATCAGGATATGTTTATATTGTGTGTATTAGACAACTGGAGAAGAATAGAAGAGTATTGATGGAGCTTCTTAGAGGCATCCTCACATTTTTCATTGAATGTTAACGTTAACTATATTAAAAATATTCATCATAACATCATTACCTTGCAAAATGTAAATTGGTTCATGATGAGGGAGACCCTAAAGAACTTTAGACAAAGTTATTAAAAGAGACTTTTTGATTAATTACATTTTTGAAAATTTGATGTCTGATCAAACTCAATGATGTCGTATGATCTATGTAGCCGATCTCATCTTGTGAGATAAGACTTGGTTGTTTTTGTTGATATGTTTATTGATTCATTTAGTGTACCTAATTCACCAGACTATAGTAGATGAATTTTACTAATCAATCAACTTATTTAACACAATCCTAAAAGGTGTCAGAATTTTAGATGAGTACTACTTTGTTGATGGGTTTCGGTTGGTTCACTACATCTTAACTCAATTATTTACAATTATTTAGAACTACAACAAGGTGATTATTTTATGTGATGAAAGTAATTAAACCATATTATTTGCATGTTTGGCTAACAATTATTTTGGGAATATATATAAAGCTCTTTCAAGAAGTTTTTGATTAAAAGTTTTTTTATCAAAGCTAATGCAAAAGTGTACTATTATAAAATTAAAAGTCAATTTATTGCTGAAAATGTGGTGCTTTAAATTGCAATAATACACCTTTTTTTATTATAAAATTTGCAATCAATTATTAGTACTTCACGTTTGCAAATGAGTAATACTTCAAATAGGGGTAATTTTTTTATTTTATTTGTTTATGATTTTTTTTTATTAGTACTTGTTTTGAAAGGGAGAAACCAGAAGGCATAGGGTGAATTCTTGTGTTGATATACACAGCAAAGGTATTGATTTATAATTATAAGTCATAATAAATACATGATTTGCAGTTATCTAAAATTACACTAATTATATAATTACCCTATTTATTTATTTTATTTGTTTCCCTATTTATTTACATTATCTCAACAATACTGCAGTAACTATCTATTTCAATACTTGAAATATTTTACTTCAAATATTTTCTTGAATAAATTCTTTTGTTTAGAAGAGAAGCAAACATTTAGCAAAATCATTGTATGGCTTGATTTCCATAGAAGAGGCATTTTGGTCCCTTAATCCTTTAGGTCAAGATCTGTCACTGTGCGAGAGTTCTATTCTATTTACTTCATTTTTTGTTTGAAATACTTTCTTAGAGTCAGTATATATGACTATGGATTATTATTACCATGATGCTCTATATGGTGAAAAGATACCAA